TACTGTGAGATCCTAAATGGGCCGGTAAGTCCAGGATATGTAGGTCCCCATGTGATATTAGATGCAACAGCAGCCATACTGTAAGGAATGTAGGACACAATGATCTATGTAGCTGACTTTTGTGAACGCTAGTGGTGGTAAATGTTAAGAAAAAGAGAAGAAAAAAAGAAAAACCTTTAGCACTTCAGCTAGATCTCAAAATCACTCAACTGGGTCTGTTGCATGAACGAGATCACAGAACAGAACTGATTTAGAATTAAATACTTTGGTGAATAAGGTTTACTGTTATAAACTAAACAGCCGTAGTTTATGAAAATAGTTGTATGTGATAATAAATGGTATTTTTGATATGTTTCATCACTCTGGATTAAAAGAAGCTTACATTAGAAAGTGAATTCCCTGCCCTGGCCAGGTGGCTCAGTTGGTGCATCATCCAATGCATCAAAAAGATTGCAGATTCAGGTTCAATTCCTGATCAGGGCACACACCTAGGTAGCATGTTTGGTTCCTGGTCAGGGGTACGGGAGGCAACTGATCAGTGTTTCTCCTCTCTCTCATATAAATAAAAATATTATCAATGAGGATTTTTTAAAAAGGGGGGAATCCCCTGAATTTAATTTAATGGCTTTTAAAAAATGGTTATAAAGACATTTTAAAAATATAGGAAAACAGTCTATTTTGTCTAATACGTCTTAAAATCCAAGACACTCAACTTATTTTAAAATTAAAATTTTAAATTATGAAACTCTCTAATGTAAAAGTTGCCAAATAAGTAAATAAAACTTGAGTGAACAGACTCTAGCCAGGTAGCTCATCTGCTTAGAGTGTCGTCCCAATAAGCCAAGGTTTTGGGTTCGGTTCCCAATCAGGCACATACAAGAATCAACCAATGAATGCATAAATAAATGGAATGACAAATTGATGTTTCTCTCTCTCAAATCAATTGATAAACAATTTTTGGAAAAATTGACTAAATGATGCAATTGTATCTAGTGCTCATTTTATCAATATTCTTGTTATTCAAATGTCTATTTTTCTTTGCGAAACCTGCCTAAGTTTAACTGATTTTGCATGTAGTTTCAATGTAATACCCTATGTTTGAATAAATACTCAAAAATCAATTATCTCATTAACATTAAAAAATACAACTGCTAAACAAACGATGTTTAAGTTTTCTAGCTATACTAGTTTATTATCTCTCTATAAATAAATCTACCAAGCAAAAAGTTTATAGAAATTTTTTCAGCAAGTGAAATTTGTAGTGAAACCAAAGACACCCAGACACTACATCGAAGGTGCTGAAAATTTCACTTTGTTTACAATGGTAAATAAACTTATTATTTGACAAGGGAAAGGATGATTCCAACAACAATTAGTATATAAAAATCATCTTACTTATAAGAATATAAAGGAGGATTCTTTTTGGAGGATTTTCCACAAAAACTAAAAAAAATTATTTATTTACTTACTGCCTTACTAAATTGGTCAATAGTGACTCAGGAGGTGAATTAGCCTCGTGTGGGGGCTCTGTGAACATTACCAGCATCAATCATCAATGACCCAATGAAGCCTAGAACTTCAGGTTAATACAGAATGGAAAGAACTTTCCCCCTAAAATATCACTGCAAATGCATACATTCCAAGGTGTTCTATAAGCAATAGTTTTCCAAATAAAATATAATACAGAAGTTGAATGATCAGAGGCTACCTTAGACAGAATCATGGCAAGATTTAAATAACTAGCCTAGGTCCCCCTCTTACATAGAAATCCACGGCATATGGTCACTTTGGCCTCTTCATAAACACCCACAATGATGGGGGCTTATGAATTCATTATTCATAAGATTTTTGGAAAGCTCTGTTATAAACCTCATCTTCTTCCTGAAGATAAAGATGCTTCACCCTTTAAAAATTACTATACAATCATCGTAGTTTTGTCCTATAGAGTATCACAGGACAGTGAGAGTTCCTTTTCTTACCTGATAGCTTTTTTAATATTTAATAATAGCTTTCATATCTTGACTTTTACAAGTCAAATATTTGCAGTGGATTTACAAAAGTTACCTACAATACTAAATAACCTCTCTTTATTTTCTGTATACATTCTTGTTGCTAGAGTTGTATTTTGCAAAGGTCCATCTCAAAAGGTAGTGCTCAATAAATACAATATTAAAATGTGGTCATCGTTGCAAACTGTAATAGAACAATCACCTCCCTCATTAGGATACCATCATGAGTCAAACTTAACAATGCCTTAGCTTTGCAGCCACTTTCTACTACAAATGCCATGCTTGTTACCAATAAAACCATGGTCTTTATTCGTGTAGTGAACTTCTTGGACTCAAATCAGAACTTTACATTTATATCCACTACTATGAGATAGTATTATGAGAACAAATATGTTAACATGACTCCCTATATTGAGCCTCTGGTATGTCATCTTGAAAAATACTAAACTACTCTATTTGTCTTCCTACCTAACTCATACTCTTCAGTTTCACACATTATTGAGCAATGCTGACCTTCAAGGCTCTGTTTACATTAGCCTTTCTCAAGTCACCAGTTATTAATACTCAACAGTCCCCAATGAAAACATTTTCTTCTATGACAATTAAGAAATTTTGCCTGTGACATCGTTTTCACTTGTTTACTTTTAAAACTGGTTTTATACAGAACATCTCCCTAGGAGTGTTTCCTTAAGTAAGACTGTTTGTTCAAAATACAGGCAATGATATGTTCAATTCCACCTCTTCAGCAGGGCACACAATGCAAACCCCCCAACAAACCTTTACCTTGATAAGAATATGCATATAAACACACACCACACATGAAATGTGCACGTGAGCTATAAACATATGCTATAGCGTATGGAAAACAAAGGCACGCTCCTTTATTCTAGTTAAAGTTGCCCTCTTTACAAGAAACTTTTATCTCACTCTTCCCTCTTTCAAAACCATAATTTTCTTCCAAGCAAAGATAAAGTTGGTGCGAGCTCTTCAAGACCCCAGTCTCCCTAAGTCCCCATCACAGACTTCAATTCAAAGGAAACTCATGTGTGTGGCAAGCCTGTGCTTCCATCGAACTCCCCTCAGAAACATGATGACCCCCTTCCCCCAACCCGAAGACAGAGGACTCTCATTCTAAGAGGACAATCCCTGGGTAGAGTACATTCGGGCAACCGTTCCCTTCCTCCCAGCGCCCCAACACCAGAACCCCTCCGCAGCGCCACGCCTTCTCTGAGAGTCCGCTCCTGCGGGCCAGCCGGGGGTGAGCGCCCTGGTTAGTCAGTGCGCACGTGACGCGCGGTGCCCACATGACACGACCGTGGGCGGGGGAGGGGGGCAGAGGAGTGAAGCAGGGAAAAAGTTAAGGAAGATCGATCTAAGCGCCCAAAGCAATGGGTTCCTTCCATTCTTCGTCAAGTAGTCGCTCAGGGATCCTTAGGGGACCGCTGAGGAGCAAGGCATCCATGGTCCAGCTTCCCAAACGGGGTGGGGTAGGGGGAGGGCATAGTTCTCCTCTTTCCCCGCCACCTTCTCCTCCTTTCCGCCCTGCTAGTGATGCCGCTGCACCCTCAAGTTGCTCCTTCTTTCCTTTTCTCCCTCCGACTTTTTCCCCTACTTTCCTTCTTTCTTTCCTTCCTCCCTTTCTTCCTTCCTCCCTCCGGTCTCTGAAAGCGCTTTATGCACCACGGACGATGGCACTGACGCACATTCAATTTGCCCCGGGAGCTTGCCCCCACCTCTGAGGTCAGACAAGGCCAAGCCCCTTCCACCGGGGAAGGTAAACTGCGCAAACAAAGTTATACGCCACACCGAAACCCGCCCTCCCTTTCGTTGAGCCCCCCATTCGCATCTTCCGGCAAGCTCACTTGCTCCGTTGCCACTCTCTCGACCTCAGCCCACTACCGTGCAACACACCCCCTTCCACAGCGAGCCCACCCTTCCATTGCCCCGCGCTTGGAGAGATCCAACCTCCTGGCAAAGCCCCGCTGCGCTCACCTTGCTTGACACACTTGAGCCGGAGGGGGTCCTTGCAGTGTTTGATCACGGCCAGCACGTCCCTGATGGTGAGCCCCGCCACGGGGGTCTCATTCACCTCCAGCAGCAGCTCCTCCGACACCAACTTGCTGCCGCTCTCATAGGCCACCTTGCCGGGCTTCACTTCCCCCAGGTAGGGGAACTGTCCATTCTCGGCGCCCCCCTTCAGCTCAAAGCCCAGCTGGCCCTCCGGGTTCCTGCCAATGACACTCTCGTGGACTTTGCTAGTCCAGTGGCTTTTCTTTTTCAAGCTTTTGGACATGGCAGTGGGGCGAGTTGCCTCAGCTCCTGAGGGGTTCCTCTGGAGTAGGGGTGTTGGCGGTGAGAGAATAAGGATGCAGGAGCCAGGGGGCCAAGAGGTGAGAAGCGCAGACTTTGCCTTCCTCCCCTCTCTGTTCGGTGCTTTCCCTCTTCTTTGGATGGAGTGTGGACGAGGAAGGGGAAGGATGAGAGGGATGGCTGGGCAGAGGTAGGAGAGCCTGGGTGAGGTTGTGCTGTCCCTTGAATGACACTCAAGGCTGTGGCCCCGCAGCAGAGGAGAGCTGTGGCGGCGGCGGCGGCAACCTCAGCGAGCAATAGCGGAGCCGGGGAACGGGTGGGGTGGGGGTGGGGAAGGAGGCTAGAGATGCCGGGGGCCACTCCTGCGCGGTGCGACTGGGAGCGCGCGCGCCTGGGTGTGTGGTGTTAGCTGATGTCCATGGCAGCTGCAGTGGCAGCGGCGGGTCTGTGTGTGTGTACTAGTTGTACAGTATTGGCAGGAGGGGTGGAGGGAGAGCAGAGGCGGAGGGAGCCGGCCGAGGGAGGAGGGGCGCGCGCGCCGGGTAGGGGGCCGCCGAGCCGCTGTCTCCGTTCCCCCCCCTCGGCAGCTTGACCCGGTAGTGAAGGCTGAGAGAGAGGCAGGCTGGGTCCGCCTGGCAGACGGAGAGAGGAGGCGGGAGCGCGAGAGGAGGGGAGGTAAGGCCCGGCGTGGGGAGGCCGGCAGGCAAAGCTTTGAGAGCCGACCGCGGACCTTTCTTCAGTCTCCCAGCGGCCGAGCGGTGAGCTAGGCTGCAGCGCAGAGAGAACGCCCCGACACCCGGGCGCGGACTGGGCGGGAGCAAAACGGCTGGACCTGGATTTGAACGCGAAGGGGTGCTGGCGCTTCTGCCGGAGCGCCGCCCGCCCCCTGGCGCGGGATCCAGCCGAGAGAGCCGCGTTCGGCCCGCCGTGGAACTGCGGGAGAGGCCTGGGCGCTGGGAGCCGGGGAGACTGGCGTGGGAGTCTGCAGTTTAGAGGGATTTACTCTCTTCCTATTTTCGGTCAGACTCGTGGCAGAGTTCTCCAAATTTCCCCGCAGAGGAGCGGAAAGTTAGGGTACCCCCGCGCGGGAGGGCGAAGCAGCAGCCCTTTCCCGGGACTGGCCCAGCCCGCGCCTCGAGCCCCGGGGCGAGGACGGAACGCTGGGCGGAGTTGGGTGAAAGGCGATTCCCAGGAGCGAGGGGAAGGGGCTTCAGGTTTCCTTGTTAGAAAGCGCGGAAAGCGAGGGGCTGCAGGATGGTGGGGGGCCGGGTGGTGCGGTGCGGTGCGGTGCGGTAGGAAGCCTTCCCCGGGGAAATCCACGTGCTCGCCCGAGAATTGTGGCGGCCCCGGCAGGGTTACGCCTGGACCCCGGGAAGCCCTCCAACTCCGGCTGGTAGCTCGGGAAGAACCTTAAGATGACCTGGCCTGAGAAACTCCCGCGACAAAGAAGGAGAAGAAGGCTCCGAGGGTGAACCCGGCCAAATCGGGGCTGGCACTCGGCTCGCTGGCCCAGCACCAGGTTCCTTTCCCTTCAGCCCGGAGGAGAGGTGAGGACAGGGGCGCGAGGATGCAGGAGGGCTGCTGATTTTCACTCGACCGCGAATTTCCTGTGAGGTGTTTGGCGAGGTTTTAGAAATTCTTGTAATTGATAAGTGAATTTCACTTGTTCTACTTTCAAATGATATGTTTAAGACAAAAAAAAAATGTCGCACACCTACTCACATCTTCAACACAAAGCATGAAAGGCACTTGTTCAGTTAGGAATCTTGATGTCTGATAGGAAGATAGTGTGGGAGGCAAGTGGTTCAGAAAGGCCAGATTTGAATGCAGTCTCTGTTTCTTACCAAGAGCTTGATCTTAAGTATATTGCTTGACCTTTCTGAGCCTCAGTTTCCTGATTTGTTTAATAGAGTTAGAAGTACTAATCTGATAGGCAAGTGATGAGGATGAAATCAGGTTAATGCATGCAAAGTGCTTGCCTGACTCAGGTGGGTAGCACTTAAAATGTTAATTTCCTTCCTTTCCCCTCTCAAGTATAACTCATTATTTGGGGAAAAGTGGGATTAAATTTAGTCAGTACTGGAAAAGATCTAAAACAAAGATGATTTGTTTAACCGTGTGTCTTTTTTCACTTGAGAAAACAGATCCCCAGTGAGTTGGCTGCGACTGATGGGAATTATTCACTAAGCCAGGGGAACTTCCAGGATCTGAAAAACGAGTGACAGGTAATGCCCAGGAGTACACAAGACTTTTTCTAGCATAGCCCAGCCTCACCCAAAGTTGACTTTTAGCATTATGAGACACAATCCTAAGTGGAAGTTGGTAATGAGAACTAAATAAGTATTTTTAAACACTAATTACAGACTAACATGTTTGGCTGATGCTAATATTGATCAAGTTCTAACTGCATGCTTGATGTTGTCCAATAGGCTTTACATATATTAATTTCTCCTTACATCTTAATAAGGTGGATGTTGTTATCATTCCATTTGACAGATGAGAAAATTGAGAAGGCTGCAAATTTAGTCAATGGCAAAGCAAATAATCAGACCCAAGTTTTTTGGTTCCAGACCTGGTCTCAGTCACTGCATTGTTTCTCTCCCCATGCACGTACAGTGTGTCACACCAGCAATTAGTACATAATGTCCCCAAAGGTTTCATCTGAATTTTATTGTAGGGGTAACTAGGATAAACAAAAACAAATGGAGCAGGAGTTAGAAATAAAAGCATTTTACCCTCAAGAACCCAGGAGAGTCATTGACATGTATATCAGTTAACTGAATGCTTCTCAGCTCCTAATTCATTCATTTCCTTTGTCCTGAATTATGTTATTAGAACTAAAACCTATAAACATTTCTTTGTTGTTAGTTGGTATAGTATTAGGCCTACTGAATAGAAGGTGCTAGAGAGACACTGCATAAAAGCGGGACTTCTCTTAGTTCCAGTGTTTTTCTTCTTGCTTCTACAAGGTTAGTGTGTGGCTTTCTGGCCAGTGGTGTGCTAGAAACCCGTGTTTCACATCCTCCAATAAGTTTGAACAGTTCCCTAGTGTTTGTCTTCCCAGTAAGCCTTGCCGGCATCCCAAAGGGTAGCTTCCTAGCAAGTTTCACTGGCACCTCAGCTGGCCAGCCCAATCTGTGACAGCCCAACACATTTCTTGGCCATCAAGTGGGACATAGACACGTTATCTCCGATGAGGTCTGTCTCTCATTCTAGGCTACAGGATAGGGATGGAAGTGGGGGTGTGGTTCTTCTAAGTTACTTCACTGGATACTATCCCACCATCCTGGAGTTCATGGGTGCTCCCTAAATTGGCTCTTCCTATATGCTTCAGTGATCTCTCTTCTCTTAGTGGTCACTCTCCTTTTAGTAGGTAATAATTCTTTATATTAAATGTCCTTTGTTCCTATTATGGTGTGATTTCTGTCCTGATTGGACCTCTACTGATACAAGGTGAAACAGTAACACTATCTGGGGAGTCAGAAGTTGGCATCCTGTCCGTAACTGTGCAGCCTTAACCAAGTCACTTAAACTTCCAGAGCTTGTTGCCTCATTTGTAAAAAGGAAGTGGCAATATATATAGCGAAGTTTTGTAAAGATCATGTAAATTTTTAAAAGATTTTATTTATTTACTTATTTACTTATTTATTTGTTTATTTTAGAGAGAGGGGATCAAAAGGAAAAAGAGAGAGAGAGAAATATTGATGTGAGACAGAAACTTCAATCTGCTCCCTCTCATACATCCTCCAACTGGGGGACCCACAACCCAGGCATGTGCTCTGATCAGTTATTGAACCAGCAGCCTTTTGCTTTGTGGGATGACACACAAGTAATTGAGTCACACTGGTCAGGAACATATAAAATTTGAAAGCATTTAAATGCACTTAAATGTGAATGTACTTTAAAACTGTAAAGTGCTATCAAAATTAATGGTGTTAATGATCAGTATAGGAACAGAGACTAATACAGAAGAAGGAGACATTTTAAGAAAAAAAATTGCATGCATTCTGGGTACTTATATTATTTCTTGGGGGTAAAAACAGCATTTTCACTAAGATTTATGGTCATCAAATAAATATACTGTTGGTTGGTTGGTTGTCTTTGCCTAGCTTTCCAGAGATAAAAACAAACAGTTTCTATTCTCAAGTAGTTCAAGTTTCCAGCTCTATGAAAAATACAACTAAAATTACAAACATTTTCAAATGTTAGGTTCAGACTAATTCAGTTATTTGCTATTCTGGCATCCTTCACATTTGTGTTATTTTTGTTTTGTCTACGCTTTCTGGGTTTGATGCTTGTGTCAAGAAAGAATTATTTCATTGCTGAGCACTCTATGTGCAGAGCATGGCACTGGATATTGCATGCTATTCCAAAAGAAAAATACTTTAAGAAGCATAAAGGCTCAAAAAAGAAAGGCATGAATGCATTCAATCTTTAGAAGAGGTCTAGGACGTTGATACTTGTGGGACACTCCACGTCTTGAATCCCTTAGATTTTGTCTGAGTGCCCTATCCCCAGCTTCTGTGTTATTTTATTTCTCACAGGCCATCCCCTGAGACTCTCCTTGAAGACTGCCCAAAGGCTCTGGAGTCACTTAGCCTTCAGGCACCCAGAGCCAGAGAGAACCACCTGGGAGTTAACTTTCTTCCCAGTGAACCTTTCCCAAGAACTGCCCTGCAGAGTATAAAAGCCCAGTCTTATTGCCTCTAGAATACTCAACGCTTCCTGGCAGGATCAAGCTGATGCCAGCATTTTGCCTGAACTCCCTTCCTTTCCTCTCTTGCTTAATCTGGTAACAGATGCATTTTTTTGCATAAGCATTTTCTAATTAATAAATCACTTGCACACAATGTTCATCTAAAGTGTATGATTCTGGGCTTCCTGACGTACAGTGTTATATTTCTTTTTACAGATAAGGAAAAAGGTTTAGGTATTTTAAACTGCTCAAAGGCACGTTACCATTAAGATGTGGAGTTGTGATTTGATCTACATCTGTATGACTCTAAAGCTCCTACTTCTAATGCAGTATTACATTTTAAAGTACCTAAAACTGAGTGATTTTAAATTAACTGTCTGAACAGAAAAGCACACAAATGTCATCTATTGATTAATCAACAGATTATTGTATCCCTGTAAGATCTTCAAGTGTTTGAGGAGAAAGAATGAAGAACCATGGGCAGTAAGAACAAAACATGGTACGCCCATCTAGGAAAAACATTATAAAGGATGAGACCTACCTGACCAAAAGTAAGATATTTCCCACATTTTGGCAGAGAGTGTAAATGTTCAATGTGATTTTTAGTCAAGGACTTTCTTTGTCCTAAGGTTGAATGGGGTATTTGTATTTTTCCCTCTTCTATAAAAAATCATCACAAACTTGGTAACTTAAAACAACACAAATTTGTTATCTATAGTTGTAGAGGCCAAAAGTCCAAAATAAGTCTTGCTGGGCTACAACTAAGACATAGGGACTGCATTTCTTCTGGATCTCTAGGAGAGAATTCTGTTTCTTGCACTTTCCTGCTCTTAAGAGGCCACCTGAACTCTGACTTGTGGCCCCCTTCCTATATCTTCAAAATCAACAGCAGGTCAAGTCTGTTCATACTCCATCACTCTGACACTGACTCTCCTGTCTTCTTCGTCCACTTTTCAGGACTCTGATTATAACAGCTCTGCCCAGGTAATGTCCCTATTTTAAAGTTAGCTGATTAGCAATCTTAGTTCCACCTGTAGCCTCAATTTCCCTGTGTCACATAACGTAACATAAACACAGTTTCCAGAGAGTAAAACCAGAACATCTTTGGGGGGAGACATTCTGTCTTTTACAGTATTTTAGGATACCGCGTAGTCATATCCTCACTGTTTACATTTTAGTTCAGATTGTCAACATCACTACTGCATATAATCCCTGCCTTTTGTCTCAGAAACCTCTATTACATTGCCTGCGAGAACTTTTTGAAAACTCCTTTCTTCATAAAGTCCTGCAGTGCTGCCCATGAAATACACAGCAGAGTCCAAACTCTTTATCTTGCTTTAATCCTTCTCTGCCTCCTTCCTAACTAGCCATCTCTTTCCATATAATCACTGGAATTGGATGCTGGAGCAACCCAGCTAATGTAGGTCTTCTAAGACAAAGATGAATGAAAGGAGTTCCCTTTGCGATATCTATTATAGGCCCTTTGAATATAATTAAAGGCAGAAATTTCAAAATTGAATTTTGATGTTCAGGTCACAGCAGAGAATTCAGTCACCTACCATGTTTGTACCCTGGGGCAGCTGATCCAGCGTCCTACTCAAAGTCAGGCCTGAATCTCCCCTTCTTCTTAAAACCCTTTGTTTTATTCATCCTGAATTGCTTTGTTTCCTTGGCTCACTAAGACATTTCATACTTCTCAGTTTGCCTGAAAGGCAACTCTTTCTCTCTGTATAGTTTATACCTGCTGACCTGGTTAGACATATCTCTAGAGTCACCTCTCAAAAGCCTTTTCTGACTCTTATCCTTTCAACACACATGAAACTCACCTTTATGTCTCCATGTACCTTTGTGTAAACATGGCTTCTAATTCATTTCATTGTTTTTCGAAGTCTGTCTTCCATAGAAGAATGGGCAGGCTTTTTGGTTTTTTTTAATTTATTAATCTTTGCATTCTTACCACATTGCACATTCTCTGGCACAATGTATATGCTCAGCAGAATTCTGCCTAATGACAGATATGTGCAATGTAATGGTGTATAAAATTTTATTATATGACCACGACCTTAATATGAATTTTTATCTTTAGTCTTAAATGATTATCTCTTTATATCCATGCTAATGTCTTAAAAGAATGGAATGCAGAAGAGCACATATTGATGAAAAAAGACAATATACTTAGCCATGAATCTAAAGTTAAGAAAGGAAGCCAGATTCTTCAATAGTTTATGACACAATCTGAGAGATGGTAGTAGTCGTGACAGTGCTGGTAGAGGATAAACTTGACCCACTCCCTCATTTGTCAATTATTAAACTTCCTCCTGTATCTGCTACAATATTCACCCAAAAATGCTAATCCATATTTGTAAGGTAGATTTATGCAGCATAATGCAGAACTTCTCAGACTGTTCTATTAGGATACCTCTAAGGGTCCACTTCCCAGGTCAAGAATAATCTTGTTTAAAGTCTCTAGTTATCATTTAAAAATTGATTTGGATTTTAGATACTAGTCTGTAGTAGAACATATTTATACAGATATAAAACATGGCACCTTCCCCAAACTGCCTAAGTTATGTTCCAGAAGCATTTGCCTTGTTTGTACAGTGGTTTCTTGGTCAAGTTCAGTGACTGTGGTTGTGCAGATCTTAAGTCCAGAAACTGGGAATACAAGCCCAAGTCCTGGAGAAAGTTTGAGCTGCAGATAGATACAGATTTGGGGACTCTTTGTCTTTGCCTATAGAATGCAAACTGTGAGAAGAGAAAAATACTGAAAAATATTTTTTGTTCTTTGACTTTAAAACCATTGACATTTTTATATAAATAATAATGGGTAAGACCTCTTTATGCTTTTTGGTTACCTTATTCAACATACTGCACAAAATACAACAAAAGTATTGTATTTGGATCTGGAAATGTACTTTTTCTTATGCACTGTTATGCAGTCATACTTGAATGTCAGTATCTGGATTGATTTGTCTTTCATTTTCATTTTTTGACTTTTACTTATTCAGTACCTGTCAGTCTTTTATCATCACTTCACATTCTACTAATCTCAAAAAGATACTCTCATACCTTTTATAGCTCAGGCTTTTCTTACTAGATTTTTTAAATACTTCAAAAATTCTGGTATCTCAAGTTCATGCCATAAAGTAGCTGTATCTATCCCCCTCTTTTTATTTGTGTTCAATTACTATCACTTTCTACTTTGTGACTCTAAATCTTTTAAAACCATCTTACCATTTTTTCATGCATTCATCCTTACAGAAAATTCTATCTATATGGAAAATTCTATCTCTAAAACACTACTTATCTCTTACCTTTCTAACTACTTGTATTTTTCATATTATCCCTTATTTTACAAATGTGCATCTTAATTTATCTTTTTTCTCTAAAACTCTTATTATTATATATCTTGTTTTCCATCAATTTCCATTATAAATTTTAAAATAAACTTAGAGCATTCTATATGTATTTTAATAAGATGTATACTGCCCATATTATAAACCTGTCTTATTTTTAATCATTTTGTTACTGATTTTAAATGAGTTATCACTTTTTATTACGAAGAAGTAAAAGAAGCAACAAAGGGATAATATTATCATGGGCTTAATTTCTGCCAGTGAAAAATCTTGTAGGTGGAAAGAAAGTTACGGAAAGAAAGTGAACATATTCTATTTTGAAGCAGTAAGGAATTGTCAGATTTGTTTTCTAGTCTTTAAGAAAGGCATATTTCAAAAAATTCAAAGAAGAGTTCATCATGTTTCTCATGCAGATTATTGAGAAGTAAAAAATGCGGATGAACATTTGGTGGCAATGAGAATGTAATTCTAAACACACTAATTTGAATAATTTTGCAAACCTCTTCAAATACTGTTCTGTATGGTATGATTTGCTTTTAACCATTTTAAATGCTATGGATATCTTCCAGAATATGATAAATACTAGTGATCTTGTCACACCCTTTTCCCTCTACCACAAATGCATATATGCATGTTTTTTCCTAATATCATATATCATTTCATGTAGTTCATAGATCCATTGAAGCTAAACCATTTGCTTGGATAAGAGATTCTTTGAAAGTCCAGCTTAAGTATCCCTTTTATGTAAAGTGTTTTTATTTATACATAATTTGCTGAAAATAATCTTATCTGATGAACTCCTAAGAAATGCTACCTGATACTTTTCATCACATTTCTTCTTGCTTCATACTGAGCATTCTAGTCGTATCTTAGCCATACTGCTAGGCTGAATCATGAAAGCATGACTTCATGGTTGCATTTCTCACAGAAGTTGAATGAGTGAAGGAAAATACAGTAGTAGAAAAAATGAAGACATAATTAAAGTGAATCTGAAAGGGTCAACTGTAGCTATTAAGCACAGAATTAATTGATGCTAATAAACTAAACCCAAATTTTAAAATGTTTTTTAAAAGATCAAGAACTGCAAGAAGTTTGCCATCTGGGAAGGTATTGAAGTGTTAAGACAATTGTATAACATTTTATCTATCAAGGAGAATAACTTTAAATATGAAAAAGGGATGATAAATTTTTAAGAGAAAATTGAAGTTTAAGATGAGTCATGGGACAATTCAAAATTTTTTAATTGCTGTAGGGGAATTTAATCTTCCAAGTTCTCTCAGTTAGGTCCAAGGGCAATAAAAGAATCAGGAAGTTTGGCAAGCCATTTTCTATAATCTCTGGAGAAAATTGGACATTAAGGGATTCAGTAGAAGATAGGTGAAAAGCAAAGCTACCATGATTTTCCAAAGAAGCGATTTACTTCATAAACTATAGACTACAAAAATTAGGACATCAAGAGAAAGAATTGATAACATAATGCTAGTACAGCTTTATAAGGAACAAGTGAAATAAAAAATGCACATTTTTATTTATAAAGTATGACTTGTGAGACCATGTTAACTTAATCATTAGTCATTAATGCCATCAATGCTTTTTATATATCCAAAATGAATACTCAAAGACCAGGCTCTTATCATTCTCTTTAATACCTTAAAGTGATGCTTCAGTTTGCAAATGTTCTTTTAACACAGTCTCCACATCTGGCTTTAGTAGGATGTACATAATAGGCTTATTACATCCCTCTCATGAGCACTCAGTATTTAATATATGTTCTTCCAATCAACTGCTCCCATCATTGCCTCATTAATTTTGTAGGATCACTCCTGGTCCTTTTCCAAAACACTTTCTAAGGCTTTTCTTTAATAATTAATTGACCCTATAATTATCAGATATATTAAGACCACCACCATGACTTTAATATTATAAATGTATAATTCAAAGTTAATATCCTTAATGTACAATAATTTGTCTAAATAAAAATTTTATGAATAATAAATATGAAACAATTGAAAATTTTATATAAATGTGTGATAAATTTTAGGCTATGTTTAAGGAATGTTATAAATATTTTACTTATGATTAGTATTAGTTATAATATTGCTCAGTATGAGTTACGTATGGTTGAGATATAAATAAATTTCATTTAATTTTGAATTGATTAAATATTTGCATATATTAAAGTCTTTTATAGTATA